GGTGCTATGATGGAAGCCAGAGGTTGGCAGATGTGCTGCTGCAATCTGTGCAGATGGAAAATGGATGATGTAATTCAGAAATATGAAGCCACATTGCAATTCAGATGTATTGTTCCAAACACTGCTTTCCCTTCCCAAGCGAATACACTTGTGTGTCTGCAAAATCATGGCTAGTGTTGCGCAGGCTGTAATAGAGTACAGTATTAATGCGCTGCATTTGCTGTCTGAACGCGATTCCAGGCTGAACAAAATCCCCGATGGTGTCCCTCCGTGTTCTCCAAGAACTTAACGATTCTTCTTGCCTGATGAGGTGGTTCTGGGAGACTCGTTATTTTTTGTTAAGGACTAGCAGCAAGTCTCTTGAGCTGTGAACTGTATTTAGGGAGCTTGTGTGGCGTGGCTGTCTCAAATACGGCGGAGCTTCACACATTTTGATACCAGTTTCGGTTCAGTCGATCCTTTATTTTCAGGGTGTACATGCAGCAATAGTTCTCTGGTTTCCTGCTCCATTATGACTCAACAGTCGATAAACGCTGGCCATTGGTGCAAGCCAGATATATGTCCGTCAAGCCTTCTTGGCCATAACTTTGCACGGGCATTGATTTTCTGCCCAGAGCAAGCATCTGACTTGCAGGAACAGGGTTGGTGAAACTACATTCAATTCAGGTGGTTTCCTTGCATACTCAACCCAAAAGGGGATGATGGTACATAATATTGATTGCAGTTTCACCAACTGGAACCACATTGCGTCCTATTGAATCTTATAGAAACATGCAGAACCCATTTGATCGTCCGAGCTTCATGATCGTGAACAACTTGTTACATGCCTTAGTGCCCAGGATTTTAAGCATGAATAGAAGGGACAATTGATGGCTGACACCCCACCCCATCCCCATTTTCAGGCGGATACACACACACAGAATCTCACAGCCAATGGGTGGTAGGAAAGCTGCCCGAACAGCAACTTCTGACCCTACGTCTTGTCATCCTTGTCGTTGTCAGTCTTACACGTCAGCCCACGCCTGGTGTGACTGACCGAAGGGACCTTTTGGGCAGCAATTCTCGAGTCGCGTGGATGGACAGAGCTCGTAAGTTGGCGAAACGACAAGCCGAATGAATCTCCTGGTGGCAGCACGTTACCCGTCATCATGTGGGGCACTGGGGAAAGGTGTGAGGGAGAGGGAAGCGAGGCTGCGAGAACGGCGAGCAAGCAAGGAGTCGAGACGAGTGAAGGCGAGGAAAGGAGCACCAAGGAATGGGATCGCACGTTCAGTGCGTTGAGTTGAGGGGCTGTTTGTTGGTGGAGTGAAAGAGCATAGCGCGACAGAAGCGAAGAAAAGCGTACCCCTTCAGGGAGTTGGGCTTCTCAGACTCAAGACGGATAGATCTCAATCTCAACTGAACGCTAGCACAGTTCTGTGTGCTTCATCCGTCACTCGTGTTTCTGACCGAACACGTCGCTGACGTTTAGAAGAAAAGGGTTTGTGTCGAGCCTGGCTCTACGCGCATTATCCAGGAGTCCCGCGCGTTACCTGAATATGCTCGTGCCGTCCTAACGCGCATTATCCAGGAGTCTATACCCCGCCGCCGGCACAGCCACGATATTTAGGGCTACCAATCCCGTCCCCATCGCATGATATAGCGCACACATGGCGCCGACGCTAGCGAAGCGATGGCAGCGCATGTTCTCGACGTCGCACGCCGGCCAGCGGTCGCCCGGCGACCAGCGCCACGACGACCAACCGTGCGCGCCGCCATGGGCCAACCACCCGCCCCCACTCGGCCGCCGCTCGAGCTTACCAGATCGCGGGTACACGTCGCCGCACCAAGCGCCGCAGCAGCACCACCAGGCGTCGCCTCACCACCAAGCGTCGCCGCACCACCAAGCGTCGCCGCACCACCAGAAGTCGCCGCACCACGCTATGCACAGCGCGTCGCCGCAACACATGCAGCAGCAGCGCGGTCTGAAGCACAGCACGTCCCGCACGTCGCTCGACAGCGCGGACGACGACCGGCCGCCCGGCGCGAACGGCGTGGGCGGCGCGGAAATGGTGACGGTGAAGCTGGCCAAGTCCGACTGGCTAGAGATAGTTAACGCGCTCGAGTCGGCTTCCAGCAGGTGAGGGCGACAAAAAGCCGCGAAACTTAGTGCCCGCTCCCAGAGTCATTCGCGATTCATAATGCCTGCGGTGTGGCAGCAGCAAGCGCGAACCTGGAAGCCCAAGTTCACCCATCCCTTGCGCGGTTCGTCATGAGGCAGATAACTAGACAGAGCGTCCCATCTGACTTTTGAGTCGACTCAAAAGTCACGTCTTAACTAGACAAAGCCCCTCCGTCCCTCTCCACCCCGTCATTTCGTTCCGTTCCGCCATACACGCCCCCATCCGCTCCCCCATCCGCGCCCATGCGCGCGCGTCCCTCCAGGTGCGAGAACTGCGGGGAGACTTCACCGTCCGCGCCCTCCGCCGTCTCGCTGCCCGCCACGCAGCGCCTCTTCGCGCAGCTCAAGGCGCGCAGCAACGGCCCGCCCGGCGGCGGCGCGAACGAAGACGTGCTCGGGCCGCTCTCGGCGCTGCGCTCGCAGTCGTCGCGCGAGGGTATCGGCATCGGCGGCGGCGTGGGCGGCGCGGCCGCCAGCTCGACCGGCTCGCCGTACGGACTGACGTCCAGCGACAGCGCGTCGACGTCGTCCCGGCGGCGCTCGCTGAACCTTCCGCGCGCGCGCGAGCTCGACGCGGATCTGCCGTTCCAGCGGCCCGCTCGGCCACATCCAGCCGCGCGACGTGTTCGGCGCCGCCGGAAATCACGGCGCGGGTTGCGGGCTGAACTGCCACGCGGACGCGCACGGCATGCACGGAGCGCACTCGGAGCTCGGACCCATGGCGTGCCCGCACCTCGCGGCGATGGGCAGCAACGCGGGGGCCTTCGGGGGGTCGTCGTTCGGGGCGCGAAGCATCCAGCAAGCTTCCGCCATGGCTCCCACCGCTTACAGCTGCGTCGAGTCGATGATCGGCGGCGGCGGCGGGGGCGGCGGCATGGGCGGCGGGTTCGGCGGAGGCGTAGGGATGGATAGATTCGGCGGAGTTTCCGCTTCCGCCATGGTGGCGGCGGCGGGACGTGAGCGCGGGCGGAAGCAGCGGGTTTTCAAACGCGGGGTTCTCGATGGGGGGATTCTCGAACGCGGGGTTTTCGAATGCGGGGATGTCGGGCGTGGGGCGCATGGGCGTGAGCCCGTCGGAGATCCTCAACCGCAAACTGCTGACCATCATCACCAAGGCGCACGACCTCTTCTCCAAAGACCAGGTGAGCGCCTATGGGGGCAGGGAGGGCGCGCGGAAAGGGGGATCCGGCGTGGAAATAGGGGGTTGTAGGGCAAGCTGCCCACAATCATCACCAAGGCGCACGACCTCCTCTCCAAAGACCAGGTGAGCGCCGCGAGGGAAGGGCGCGTGGAGGGACGGGGACACGCGCACAGGGGGAGGGGGCGTGGAGGGACGGGACACGCGCACAGGGGGAGGGGGCGTGGAGGGAGGGGTGGGGGGGCAAGCTGCTGACCATCATCACCACGGCGCACGACCTCTGGGGTGTGTGGGCAGGCGGGGAAGGGGAGAAAACGTGGAGGGGGGTTCGATTCAAGGCATGCTCTCACGGTCATGACCTCTTCCCCATGGACCGAGAGAGCGGCTCGCGGAGGGAGGGGGTTGGAGGGGGTGGGGGGGACTTGGAGTGGTGAGTGGTATGGAATGCGGGATTAGGTTTGTCTTGTGAGTTGAACAGAAAAATCAAACACGCCTAGAGCAAACAGGCATGGGCGTAATGCACCTCATGATCGAAGAACAGGAAAAGCACACGAGGCACCGAAGGGGAAGGGTGGGAACGGGGGAGGCGAAGGGGAGGCAGGCTCGGGAGTTGGGGTTGGGTGAAAGGACATGGAGGCGGAGGGAGTGGGGAAGGCGTTGGGGAAAAGGCAGGTTGTTGCGGGGGGCAGCCTGAGGGCAGGGAAAGAGGGATGACAGGCAGGGCAGTTGCTGAACGGCAGCAAGCTGGGCGGCCACCTGCCGTCGCAGCTCCTACCCCACCCCACTCTCTTTCCTCACACCCCCTTTCCCGTCCCCTCCCCTTCCCTCCTCTCATTGCAGTCGCCTAACGGCAGCAAGGTGGCGACTACCTGCTGGCGCAGCTGCTGGATCTCACCAAGTCCAAGTTCGGATTCGTCGCCAGCGCGCTCAAGAAACCCGAGGGGACCTACTACCTCAAGGTGCGGGGGGAGGGAGGATGAAGGGTATCAGCGAGGAGTGGGGAACGGGGGAAGGGCACCTTTTCTCTCGAGGAGGGCAAGTCCAGCGCACCCAGGGAGCGCACCCAGGGAGCGCACCCAGGGAGCGCGAACGGACGTGATGTCAAGGTGACGCGAAGCAGGCACGTGCCGCTTGTTTTGAGACGTCTTGAGACGTCTTGAGACGTCTCAAAACACTCCTTCTTTCAAGGTGACGCGAGGCAGGCACGTGCCGCTTGTCAGTTAACGGGATAGTCAAGCGAGAGCCGGAGGATGGCTGCTGTGTTGTGGCGAGGAGGAAGGGACAGAAGAGTGGCGGCACTATCGAGTAGCAATCACCTGTAATGCTGCTGCTACTGGAAGCCCGAGGGTACTGGGGCCGGCACTGTAGCCGGCTTGCAGAAGCAAGGCAGTCCCTCCCCACGCCGACGTGCTCTCTCACTAGGGATCAACTCTTAAGACATACCCAAAGTAGCTAGTTTCCATGCAGGCGTGCTTGGATCAGCGACTCGCCATGTTCTGAGGATGCGAGGCATGGCAGAGATATACGAGGCACGGCAGAGATATACGAGGCACGGCAGAGATATACGAGGCACGGCAGAGATATACGAGGCACGGCAGAGATATACGAGGCACGCATATACGAGGCACGGCAGAGATATACGAGGCACGGCAGAGATATACGAGGCACGGCAGAGATATACGAGGCTGTCTAGGGTTAGTGAGTGTGAGTGCGAGTGTTAGTGTTATTGTGGTCAGGAGCAGCACGGTAGCACATCTCGGTTTCTGGTTTAGGGTTAGTGAGTGCGGACAGGCACAGCGCAGCACGTTGGCACATCTTGAATCGTGGACTTGCAGAAATTCGTAGCGCTGCTGCCCTTTTAACCGTGAAGCAGGGCGTGGTGTGGATGCGCGCCGCACAGCAGCTAACAATGAGGTTACAATGGGGAATGGTGACTGAGAATTAGGTGGAGGCGGGGGGTTGAAGCAAGGAGCTGCCACCTTTGAACGCGGAATTTGCTGGCGGTGATGAGACGACTTCTGAAACGCCTAACAAATCGTTTCTACCCCACCTCACCCCACCCCCTCCCGGATAAAGCCCCCTCATCCTCTCCCCACACCCCCTCCCCCTCCCCGCCTCCACCATTCCACCCCTTGTCTACCCACCCCCAAGACGCACAGCATCACCAACTTCGCCGTGGACGAGGGAGCTGCAGCTGTGGTACGCGGAGAGTGCCCCGTCTGGTCTGGTGTTCTTCGGCCGTGTCGTCACCTTGCCTCCTGCCCTTACACGTGTTCCCTTTCATTCTAACCCGTTCTCCCCTTTCCTCCTCATCCCACTTCCACCCCCTTCCAGACGCACGGCATAACCAATTTTGCATGGACGCGCGAGCTGCGGCTGTGGTACGCGGAGAACGCCCCGTCCGGGCTGGTGTTCTCCAACATGGACACGCTGTTCGGCCGCGTCGTCACCACAGCCGACGTCGTCATTTCCAACGACGTCCCCAACGATCCAAGGGCATGTGGGCGTGCCGCCCGGCCACCAGCGTGTGTCCACCTTTCTGGGGGTGCCTCTCTTCGCGGGTGCGGAGCTGGTGGGCATGTTTGCGGTGGCGAATCGCAAGGAGGGGTACGAGGAGACGCTGCTCATGGAGATCCAGCCCATGACCAAAACTGTCGCGCAGATCGTCGGTGCGCTGCAGGAGAGACGGCGCCGAGCGCGAGGAGCAGGAGCGGCTGAGAGCGATGCTGAAGGGCACGGGGGATGCGATCCTGGGCGTGGATGACATGGGCGGGATCAGCGCGCTGAACCGCGCCGCCAGGCTGCTGTTTGGCTTCACCGACACCGAGGGGCTGGGCGACAGCAGTGGCCGGGCGTTTGGGCAGGCCGAGGTGCTGCCGGAGAATCTGCACGTCGCGGATCTGTTCATTAGTGTGGACGGCCGAGATGACTTCGCCGACCAGGGTGAGATGCCCTCCCACACACTGATGTGTTTCATTTTACTCGACCTTGTCCCTGTTCCTTCCACCTCCTCCGCCCTGCTCCCCTCCCAAGCTCCTGCATAGCCCAAGCGCCCCAGGCTCTTCATTCATCAATCTATACCCTGGGAACCGCTGTGTGTGGTTCCGGATTCTAAATCAATGCCCTGTGAACCGCCTTCAACCCCCGTGTGTGCCACCTCAGGTCTGGAGGTGTTTGTGTGTGACGGCCTCAGGATGCCCGCCATTGGTAGGCGCATTCTGGGCGGCACACTGCTGCTGGAGATGATGTTGTCACGCGGCAGCAACCCCGACGTGGCGTATGTCATCACGGCACGGGAGCTCAAGAACAGTGGTCTGGGCGGCACGCCTACGATTGGCTCGGGCAGCAACAGCCTTGCGAGAACGGGCAGCAAGGGAGGGCCCACGTTCTTTGAGCCTGCGAATATGCCCGGAGGAGATGAGTGACTGCATGGGTGAGTGCGTGTTCTGTTCTCACAGGTTGGAGGCTTCATGATATATAATATGAACAGAGAAGAGGTTTACTTTGCCGAAAGGGTTTCTCCTACGAGCTGCTCTCAGTGGGTTGTGTAACTTATGAATGACTTTTAGAAAAGCCCATGTTCCATATGTATGCATACCATATGCGTGATTGCCTATTGTGAAGCTGACTAGAGATGTACTGAAATACTTGCATTATTGCAGATGTAGCCAAACAATGAGCTCAGAGAATTTGTATTTGTTATCTCCAGTGCTAATGTGCCTTTGGAAGGTGTACCAACGTAACAGTTTCCGCCACTCGTCAATTTCAATTTTCGAATGTTCAATGACTGAAACAACCTTGAGCCGGAGGACAGGGCAAGTGTTCAATTCTTTACTAGTCACAAAAGCGTCTCCAGTTTATTCACGCTGTTCAGCCTGAAAATTGTTTGCAAGGCGCTAAACTTTGGATTTTACTTGACAAATGCTTTTAGATCACAGCACTCGAATGCGCCGTCAACTTTCGGGCCTCAATTCTTGATTTATTCCCTTAGCCAACCCAGCCCCTCAAACATTTCGCGCCACTAACCCGACTCGAGGCCGCATAGTTGCTGTTGGCGTGGTTCCTGGCTTCTATTTCCACCAACAGCCAGCGAAGTCAGAATGTTAGGCTAGGGTTTCGCGTCCCACTGACGCTCTTGGGGGCATAGGCCACTACACGGTAGCTAGCGTGGCTGAAGGGCGAAGTTGTACATTTTCTTAAACTCTTTGAGCGGTTGCAATAGGTACACTAACTCGGGCTTCATTACGCAGAACCTTCAGCAGGCTAAAGGTATCCGAAGTGCGTCAGGAATATCAACGCTTCGAGCGCAATACTGGCCAGAGCTGATCGGTTCCACTGTCTAACTTGTTTTAGCGCACGTCCTACTTAGAAGGGTGCTTGCGTCTCTCTTCAATATCAGCCTCGCGAGTCCCTATCGCTTATCGTCATCTATAAAAAGCGTGGACAGTTTTTTTTTTTTTTTTTTTGCAACGTTCACTCTTTCGCAGCCTACCCTCTGCCAGCAACCGTCGAAACTTTTTAACGGGTAGAAAAAAAAATTGTAATGGATGACCCAAGCCAGCATTTCCCGCCTGGCTCGCTGCCCGAAGGAGAGCCGGCGCCAGCGCAGGCTGCGGCGGAGGGCATGGAAGACGCGGAGAACCTTCTCGACGACATGCTCGAGGCGGCCGAGGCCGCGCGCCACGAGACCGAGCTGACTCTAGCGCCGCAGGCGCCCGACGAGAATGAGCCGTTTGTGACTATGGCGGGTGTGACTGCAGGCGATGTGACGGAAGGAGTGGTGGAAGAAACTGTGACTTATCACGGTGTGACTGAAGGAGAGGTGCCTGAAGCGGAAGCAGGTGAAGGCGAGGGGTTTGATCTAAATATGGATGCTGGTGGGGGTGGGGGTGGTGCGGCGGCGGTTATGATCACCGAGGGTGCAGCAGCTGAGACCGAACCAGGGACCGGACCAGGAACCGATCCTGGTTCGGGTTTGGGTGTTGCCGAGCCTGAGAGTCTGCCGGTCGGGACTGAGGAGCAGGCTCGGGAGACTATTGGCGAATACCAAGAGGTGGGCGGAGAGGGCGGGGATGGCCATATCATGCAACAGGCAATGGCGGGTGCTTATGAAGAGGGAGGCATGGCGGAGGGCGAGCAGCCGAGAGCTGACGCGGAAATGGGTGAAGCAGCGGAAGGAACTCATCCGGAGGGTGCTTATATCGAGCAACCAGTGCAGTACGAAGGTGTGCAGCAGCAGGAGCACGTGGGCGCAGAGCAGGCAGAGACAGCAGAGCAAATGCAGATGGCACCTACCCCAGATGAGTCTGCTGTAGCGCACCAGCAACCAGCTGTAGCTGAGCAGGAGGCAGGTGAGGCCTGGCAGGGCGAGGCTGTAGCACAGGCCGAAGCGGCTGTAGCAGGGTACGAACATGGTGAAGGGCCTGCTGTAGCTGGGTATGATGCGGCTTTCCCTGGCCAGGAGGCGGCTGTTGCTGAAACTGGCGGAGGTGAGACGGCAGAGGGGCAGGTTGTAGCACCGGCTGAAGTGGGCGAAATGGTTACCGCTGCTGCTGTTGGCGAAGGAGAGGTGGGCACAGGAGCGAACGAGGGTGGCATGGGTGCAGAGAGCTTCGTGCAAGGCGACGGGGGAATGGCGACAACAGCAGAAGCGCAAGGGACGGTGGCAGAGGGAGAGGGGGCGGCGGGGTATTCTCAACGCATGGAGGCAGTTTCTGAGGGACAGTATGGGGAGGAGGCAGCAGTGCCTGGGGCGCTCGGGGAAGGCGGAGGGGGAGGGGGCGGGGGAGAGGGCGAGTATGCTGATGCGCACATGGAAGCGGGAGGGGAAGGGGGAGAAGGTGGCGCGCTAGTGCCTGTTGCAGGGCAGGCGGAAGCAGGAGCAGCAGCAGGCGGGGAAGGGGGAGTAGCACCTGGGGGCGAGGGGGCAGCGGCAGCAGCAGCGGAAGCAGCAGCAGCAGAGGCAGCGGCGGAGGTGGCGGCGCACATAGAGGCGGCAGAGAGGGTGGTGGTGCAGTCGCAGCTGCCGCAGCCCCCACCGTGCCCCGCTGTGGGCAACGTGGCGGTGCTGCCCATGCTGCTGGACCAGATCGAAGCTCACATCCTCTTCTACGGCCGCATCTTGTGAGTGCCGTGACTGTATAAGGTGTGACTGTACAAGGTACACGGTGCTGCTAGTGAGAGGGTTGGGTGGCTGTGAGCGGTGGGGAACGTGGCGGTGCTGCCGATGCGGCTGGACCAGATCGAGGCGCACATCCTCTTCTACGGCCGTATCTTGTGAGTGCCGCGCCTGGGTGCTGGAACTGGGTGCTTTGGTGTGCCGTGACCGGGTGCTGGGACTGGGACTGTGCTGTGCCCCCATCCCCTGCCCCCATTCCCCATCCCCCTCATCCACCCACAGCCTCTATCCCCCGTGCATCACAGGCTGGTGTTCGCCACAGTGCCCTCTTAACTCGGCTCGCCCACTTCCTTTCCCTCATCCCCTGCCCCCATTCCTCCGCACCACCATTCCGCACCATTCCACACCACCATTCCTCACCCACTGCTGCATGTCCCTCCCCCCATCCCCCTCTGCAGTCGCAAGGAGCCGCTAGAGGAGGAGCTGCGAGCGCTGGTGTTCGCCACCGTGCCGTCTCAACTGGCCTCGCCCGACCACCACCGCTGGCTCGAGATCGCCGATGCCTGGCGCCGCCGCAGAGAGGCCGCCCCTGCCGCCCTCCTCCTGGACGGCGGTGGGGCGGCAGCGGGCGGCGGCGGGTATGTGTCCCCGGATGGTGTGAGGGGCCGCGGGCGGGGCAGGGGGAGGGGCAGGGGGCGCAGGGGGAGGAGGGGTAGCATGCATGCGTATGGGTATGGCGGAGGCAGGGGGGAGGGGGGGTACGGGGGTTACGGGGGATATGGGGGGAGCGGGGGCTTTGAGGGGTATGGGATGGGGGAGATGGGAGGAGGGATGGGTGGGGAGGGCGGAGTGATGGTGCCGAGCGGGTATGGCGAGTATCCCATGCACATGGGCGCGGATGGTATGCCCATGCCCATGGACCCCCATGCCATGGCCATGGGCATGGGGGGCATGGGGGGCATGGGGCAGTTAGCGCTGGGGAACGGGGAGCCATGGGTGTGGGACGATGAGGGGTGGGACGCCCCCGGGATTGCCATCCGCGGGCGCGGCAGGGGCAGGGGGCGTGGCAGGGGGCGGGGGCGGGGGAGGGGGAGGGGGCGCGGGCGCAGCTGGCACCTGGTGGGGGTGGAGATCGTCCCCTCGTACGGGTCTGATGGGGAGGAGATGGGCGCAGAGGGGGAGGAGCGGGCGGGGGGCGCAGGGGGAGGCGCAGGGGGAGGGGGAGCATCTATGGGCACGCGGCCAGTGGTGGCATGGGCGGAGGTGTGGCCGGGGAAGCTGGAGGAGCTGGTGGATAGGAAGGACCATGCGGGGGTGGCTGCCGCCCAGGTCATGACGGCCGCTGTGGTGGCCCGGGCGGCGTCGGCAGCGGTGCGGGCGGCAGCAGAGGCGGTGGCGGTGTTCAAAGAGAGGGCGGTGGCTGCTGCCTGGGCGGAGAAGAAGGGGGGTGCGGGGGCGAACGGGGCGCTTGGGGGATATGGGGGGCATGGGGGGTATGGCGTGCATGGCGGAAATGGGGGGTATGGAGGGTATGGTGCAGGTGCGACGTGGCAGGAGGCCACTGGCGCAGGGTCCCCGTTTGCGGAGTCCCCCTGGGCGCCTGAGCCTCCTCTCCCCCTGACGTCCGTGGCTAGTGTGGCGCGGGGCAGGGGGAGGGGCAGGGGGAGGGGACGGGGGAGGGGGAGGGGCCGGGGGAGGGGCAGCAGGGGCGGGGGGCGTGGCAGGAGCTACTACTACGGCGCGTATGATATGGAGGAAGAGGAGGAGGAGCCGGAGGAGGACGACGAGGGGGACGAGTTTGTGGCGTATGGAGGGGTGGAGGAAGTGGGCGGGTATGGGGAGATGGGGGGGAGTGTGCTGGGCAAGAGGGGGAGGGGGAGGGCGAGTGAGGGGCAGGAGTTAGAACACACAATGCGGCGCGCTGTGGGGTTCCTAGAGGGTAGGGGGGGAGAGGAGGAGGAAGAGGAGGAGGTAGTGGTGGTGGAGGATGAAGAGGAGGGGGAGGAAGAGGAGGAGGAGGAGAAGAGGGTGTGGGGGTTGAAGCTGCCACACAGGTTCCATGTGGGCACTCCTGTGGAGGTAAGCAGCAGTCATTGGGAGGGAGGGGCCTTGTATGGCGATTTCAGGGCAATGCACGCTGGGGTGAGTGGCGGTTCCTGCAAGAGATTCCGTAGCGGACTGAAGCATTGCACGCCCGTGCCACATGGTGCTGTGTGCACCGCCTTCCCACTCCCCCGCGACTCTGGTTCGCTGTTCTCTCCCCCGCGACTCTGGTTCGCTGTTCTCTCCCCTGCGACTCTGGTTCGCTGTTCTCTCATCCGCCTGCCTGCACACGCATCCATGACCTTCTCTCCTTCTCTCTTTGCCTCCTTGTCTCTGTGCCTCCTTGTCTCCCCGCCGCCGCTCTGTGTCTGCTGCTGCCCATGGTGAGCACAGGTGGCGTCGAACGAGGAGGGGTTGAGGGGCAGTTGGTTCACGCACGGGCACGGTGCTGCACAGATAGCGTCTGTGCGCATATGTGTCCGTGCACCACCTTGCTTCTTCTCTAACCCCCCTGCCTCCTTGCCTCTGCCTCCTTGCCTCTGCCTCCTGGCCATGGTGAGCACAGGTGGCTTCGAACGAGGAGGGGTTGAGGGGCAGCTGGTTCACGGGCACGGTGCTGCAGCTCGATGCACGGCGGGCGCTCGTCCGATACGACCAGCTGCTGGACGACGCGGGTGAGCAATGATGGCGCTGCTAGTAAGCTGGCCTTGATTCTTCTGCCAGGATGACTATGCCCTCTGCTCACCCTGTTCCTCTGTCCGCCCCCATTTCTCCCGTCAGGGTATCTGCTCCTCTCGCACTTCCCCATCTACCTCACATTTTTCTTTCACTCGCCCAGCATCCCTTTTTCTCGCTTCCCTTACTGCCTACCCTCGCTCATGCCTCGCTCATGCCTCGCTCATCCGCCCCTCATCCCCTACTCCCCAACTTGACAGGCACCTATCACCTCGAGGAGTGGGTTTCTACTGCCCCCCCTCCCCCCGCCCCCTCCTCCTCCGCCTCCCCCCATCCTCCCCACCTCGTCTCTGGCGTTCCCCCTCCCCCTCCCCCGCACCTCCCCCCGGGAGGAGAGCCACAGCGCTGCCTGCGCCCTGCCAGGCCCCCCTATGCGGGGGCGGGGGCGGTGGGGCGCAGGGGGGGGGGCAGGGGGGGCGGGGGGAAGAGGCGCAGGGGAGGGGGAGGGGTGGGGTGGAGCGTGGGCGACCACGTGGATGCTTGGGTGGATGACGGGTGAGTGGGGGGGAGTGGGGTGTGAGTGGGGGGCGAGTGGGGTTTGAGTGAGGGAGTGAGTGGGAGCTGCAAGCTCAATGCATGCCAGGGTGAGTTGTGGTTTGAGTCGATAAAGAACACGATTCTGGCCTGGAATGTGTCCCCGCTGCTGCCCTGCCCCTCCCTCTTGCTGTCACGTGCCGTTCCTCCCGCCTCCCCTCCCTGCCGCTACTTGTCGCACTGACAGAGTTGTAAAGGTCACCTTCCTCTGCACACTCTCTTCCTCTCACCCCCACGCTTTGCTGTCCCTCGTGGCCTCTCTGTATTCCCCACCTCCCTCCTCCTCCCTCTAACCTCCACCTCCCTGCTATCATCCCCACACTCATCCCCTGTCCATCCTGTTATCCAATGCTGCATGCTGTGTCCTGCTCTCCCCCCCCCAACGGCAGGTGGTGGGAGGGGGTGATAACAGCGCTGCCAGACGATCCAGCAGCCAGCATGGCCACTGTCGAGTTCCCAGGTCAGTGCCGCCGCTCTCCCTTCCGCTCTCTCGCCCACCCAGGACCCATTTCAATTGTCGTTGTGGGCCGTCCGCCACTTGCTGGTGTCCTGATCCCCTCATTTTCCTTGCTCGCCTCCGTTCCGCCGTTCCCCCTGTTCCTCTCGTTCGCCCCATCTCCCCATTTCCCCCTCAGGCTATGGGGAGATGGCACAGAAGCAGCTGACGTGGCAGCAGCTGCGGCCATCGATGGTGTTTGATGTGCGCGGAAGGGGGTGGGTGATGGTGCGCGCCCAGGCCGTGGGGGAGGGGGCGCAGGAGGTGGAGGAGGAGGAGGAGGATGATGAGGTGGAGGAGGTGGTTCCGGCTCCCATGGGGCATGTCAGGGTGAGTGGGTGATGGGTGATGTGCGATGGGTGTGTGCGATGGGTGTGTGCGATGGGTGTGTGCGATGGGTGTGTGCGATGGGTGTGTGCGATGGGTGTGTGCGATGGGTGTGTGTGATGGGCTATGGGTCATGGGCTATGGGTGATGGGTGATGGGTGGTGGGGGATGGGTGATAGTCAACTAGTTGCTGGTGCTATCCCTGTTGGCACCCACTGCTGCACCCTAGTTGCTCGTTCGCTCCTCGTTTCCCCCACTCGCCCTCTGTGTGCCTCGTGCATCGCTGCCCACACACCTCTCTCTCTCTGCACGCATACTCACTGTCCATCTCATCCTTGCACCCACCACCGGATCACCAATGACACACAGAATAGATCATTGCATGAAATCCTTGTCATATTTCTATTCTCCCGTACCCGCCTCCCCCACTCCAACCCCCCAACCCTGCGTTTCTCCCCACCTTTCCCCCCCCCTGTTCCCTGCACTCTTTTCCTCCCCTTATCTCTCCCCCCCACATTCTTCCTCTTTCCCCCCCGCGTTTCTCCCCCCTCCCCCCTGCCTGCAGGACCCGGCACTGCCGAGGCCGAGGGGGCGGCCCCCCTTGCATGGCAGGGGAAGGGGCCAGGCGAGGGGCAGGGGCAGAGGCAGGGGCAGGGGGCGAGGGAGAGCGCGAGGCAGGGGGAGGGTCCCTTGGTACTGAAGGTACGTGGCCTTTTTCTTCAATAATTATACTATTTTTGCAGAGATTAGAACGTCCATCGTCATATGCAGCATTGCTTCACTTCGTACAAATATATTTTCCGCCCTATCTCCTCTACTCTGTCATCCCTCTTTCAGCTAACGCCCAGTATCGGCTGGGCCTAAGAGAGCCATGGCTTACTAACATCAAGCAAGGTAGCTGATTGGTTTCTCCTATGGGTTTGACTAATTGGTTTCTCCTATGGGTTTGAACAAGCATAGTGACCATATGGGTTTGTCTAATTGGTTTCTAATTTACGTAGTCTCTAAGATATACTCGACTTGGTTGTTTTCCTCTTTTGGGGCTCGTTGTAGATAGGGTTTCATTGTGTGTGCTTTTGTACGTACCACCACTCTAGTCTTAAAAATGTAAACCTAGTATTGAATCCACGAACCAGTCTACAATGTGTATCCTGTGTGTGTCTTGGGCTTGAACACTTGAATTCAAGTCTGTGAGACCTGCACCCAGCGCCTGCGCCAGAAGCCCTCAGGGCGGGAAACATTTTGAACTTGAGTTTGAAAAAGAGCGCGGTCAGCTCTCTGCGACACTTTTTTAAATTGAAACCCAAGGGTCCAAGACCGCACCGCTATTCGCAATGCTCCAGGCGACGGCCAGCTGCGACGATGGAGCGCGGCCACCCCGAGACGCGGATGATTGTACCGCGCCAACGCTTTCTCCACCGTTCACCCTCTCGTTCGCCCCTTTCTTTAATTGTGAGTCGTCCGATCTACCGTGTTCCTAGGCTCCATCTCGCCGTGCGATTTGAACATCCAGCAATTTGCCTTCTTGAGTCGCGACCGAATGCTTGCGCCAAAACAACATACCGTTCTGTCACTTATTCGACCAGAAAGAGCCGATAGTACGAGTACCGAGGGCCGGTTCGAGCCCTTCCGTCTACGAAGCACATCTTATGAAAACCAAGGAATTGACTCAATTCTGCTAGTTCATCCCATTCACTCACAGCACCACCTCGGTGCATCCTCTAGCACAGCGCTTCCTCGTTCCAGGTTTTCTCTTAGCTTCAAGAAACCCTGCAATCTTCAAGTCAGAGTAGATTCGTTCAGAGACTCTTCGTCGTTCCTTTTCGTCAACCGTCATGCGACGGAGATTGAGCAGCATGGCTCGGAGGTCCACGATCCGAGCGTTCGTCGGTCTTGCCCTCGCGCTTACCGCGTCGGCACTCGTGATCGATCCCACAGACCCCTCGTCCCTAGGTATGGACGTCACCCATCCACGCTCTCCAGTGACCTCTATTCTCTAGTCCCTCGAGCACGTGATTTGCAGCAGTCAAGCCAGAAAAGCCAGTTGTTGCACATAGAAATCCCCCACCTTTTGCACCACCGAAACCCCTCTTTTTCCTCCATATTACTTTTCCTCGCCCTCTCTTTCACCCGGCCCGCCTTTCTCCGCGTGATTCGCACTTTCAATCTGACTCGCCTTTAAAAATTCCTGTTGCGTGGCTGGCGCGCGGAATGGCAGGGCAACTGGAGGCGATGCAGGAGCTGAAGCTCGGCTTCGAGGGGAGCAAGCCCTCTGCGCTCGCCACGTGGACCACCAGCGACCCCTGTGACGGCACGTGGGTCGGCGTCACGTGCGCGCGGCCCGGCGTCATCACTAGACTGTAAGTACGAAGGAACGAACAGCGACGATGCTTCAAACTTCATTCGCACGCTTCGTTTTCGTTTCAGGCTTCTCCTTTTGCGTGCATCCTCAGTGTACGTCGGTCGCACTCCCATCATCACGCACTTATGTTCCTCCCCACCCGATCCTCATCCTGCGACGCGCAGCGATTTGTGCGACATGGGCATCGCAGGCGCGTTGTCGCCGTTCATCGGCAACCTCACGGGGCTGCTGCAGCTGCGGCTGTGCAACAACCAGATCGCCGGACAGATCCCTCCCGAGCTCGGCAAGCTGTACTCGGTACAAGAAGTCGAGCTACAGAACAATAAATTCACGGGCGAGCTGCCTACCGAGTTGGGCGGCATGGCGACGTGCACGCACCTTTACCTCTTCGGAAACAATCTCTCCGGCGCCATCCCTGCCGCTCTTAAAGCCGTCACTTACCTCAAGCTGGGTCCTGGAAATCGTTTTTGCAGCACGGTTCCCGGCTCGCTGTGCGCTGGCGCGTCGGCGGAGCCGCTCCCCGCAACTCCCGCTCCGGTGGAGGACCCCGCGGATGAGGCGGGAAGCCTCCCTCCGCTGATCACCGCGCCGCTCCCCAACTGTCCGCCGTGTGCGGGGGACGATCTGCCCGGGCTCGAGGACGGGTGCACGTGCGCCAAGCCGTCGCTGCTCAAGATTCGTTTCAAGGACCTGGACTTCGCGGCTTATAACGCGAATCAGGAGGACGTGCTGCTCGGCGAGCTGTCCCGCGCGCTGCAGCTGGAGCCACGTCAGCTGATGGTGATCGGGCGCGAGCCGGGCAGCGTGATCCTGTACCTGGCGGTGCTGCCCGTGAACGGGTCGGCGCTGGACGCGCGGCAGGAGGCGAAGATAGTGGACGCCGTCACGGGCCACCGCGTGATTCTATCCAAGGCCTTCAAAGACTACGAAGTGCTCGGTACGGTCACGCGCTCTCCCTTTCCCTTGTGCCATTCAATTTATGGGGAGTTACGGCTTGATATGTTCCCGTATTCCATGCAGTGCCGTCTCCTCCTGATTCCGTGGCCGTGCGTCTAAGCGCCATCTTCTTCTTGTTCTTGTTCCTCATTCCACCTTTTCTTCCGTTTCAGGAGCGCCCGGCCTCGCGTTCAAGCCGTCGCAAGAGTCGCAGAACGCCGACGCCGAGTCGTCTTCCGCGTCTTCCGGCGCATCTTCCGGCCTCAGCACCGGAGCCATCATCGGCATCGTTGTCGCGTCGCTCGCGGCCGCGCTGGTTATCGCGGCGCTCTTCTGCCAGCTGCTGACGTGGCGCCGCGACAGGAACGCCGCGCGCCGAGCTGACGTGGAGAACTCGCGGATGGCCAAGGTGCTGACGGGTAGCATCGAGGCGCCGTACAGGCCGCACGGGAAGAACTGTGAGTGTAACGATTTGTGTGGCGCTTCGTGAGTAATCCAACCAGTAGGTCACGCCACCTGTGCTGCTGTTGTCGCCACGTCATCTTTCCCGCTCCTGCGTCTACCTCTCGCTCACTTTCTCATTGCAACGTCTCCCCCCCTTCCCTACCCCCCGCCCCCGCCATCCTCCTTTCCGCTTCCGCCAGCCATCTGGGGAAGGTGGGATTTGCCACGTGGCAGCCCCTTTCCGCCCGTCAAGCCGTCGATCTCAGGAGGGAACTCGTTTAACGAGCCCGCGCTCTCCTTCCGCAGCGGCATCCCCGGCACCCCCGCCGGGGCGCACGCGAATGGCTGCGGCGACAGCGTCGCGGGAACGCCGCGCGACACGCCCGGAGTGTCGGAGCGAAGCTTCGCGTTCCAAGGCGCGAGCTCGCCCACCTCCCCCTCGAACACCGCCGGATTGTGCGGCGGCGACAACGGCGACGACCCGCGGACTCCGGAAATCGGGACGACGCGGACGGTGGGCGACGCGGAGGGCGGAGGCACCCCTCAGGAGGTGATGGAGATTAAAAAAATCGGTCTCAAGGATATCCACGCGGCGACGCAGGGGTATTCGAAGGCGAACTTGATCGGCGACCGCGGGCACGGGCGCATGTACAAGGCGGACTTCTCGAGCAAGGCGCGCGTGCAGATGGCGGTGCTGCTCGAGCTCTCCGGGGAGAAGCTCGACGAGGCGGAATTCGCGGCGGCGGTCAAGGCGCTGGGGGACCTGTGCGTGCAGTCGAACCGCCTCGTGGCGATCATGGCGTATTGCGCGGATAAGGGCCAGCGGTGGGTGGCCTATGAGTATCTGCCAGGTGGCAGCCTCAAGGACCACCTGCACGGGGACCTGCGCTTCGAGCGCGCGCTGACGTGGCAGAAGCGCGTGCAGATCGCGGTCGACGTGGCCGCGGCACTGGAGTTTTTACATGAACAGTGCGAGCCGCTCGTGATTCACCGCGACGTGTCGGCCGACAACGTGGTGCTGGACGGCGAGCTGCGCGCGAAGATTAAAGACGTCGGCATCCACACGCTCGTGCGCGATTGGTCGGAGGGCCGCGCCGTGTCGCCGTCCGTGCTGGGGTCCATGGGGTACCAGGCGCCCGAGTTCCGCGTGAGCGGCGAGCAGACGGCGCGGTCCGACGTGTTCAGCTTCGGCGTGGTGCTGCTGGAGCTGCTGACCGGCCGGAAGCCCGTTGACTCGTCGCGACCCAAGGGGCAGCAGTCGCTGCTGACGTGGGTGCTGCCGCACCTGGAGAACAGGCTCGCCGTGACGAGCCTGGTGGACCCGTACCTGCGGCTCAACTCGACGCTCGACCCCAAGTCGCTGCACCTGTTCGCGCTGGTGGCTGCGCACTGCCTGCAGCACGAGCCCGAGGACCGCCCGCGCATGGCGGAGGTGCACAGCCAGCTGCAGCACCTGCTGCTCTCGCTCTCCCCCGACGGCCTCCCCTCCCCCATCTCCCCCAACGCGGCCTCCGCCTCCCCCCTCTCTCCCGCCTCCCCCGCCTCCCCCATGTCCCCCATCCCCAACCTCACCGCCGCGTCCCCCTGCACCCACGCTCCGGTGAGTTGTGCCTTGGATTTTTCATGTGACTTTTGAGTCGACTCAAAAGTCGCTCCGGTGAGTTGTGCCTTGGATTTTTCATGTGACTTTTGAGTCGACTCAAAAGTCGCTCCGGTGAGTTGTGCCTTGGATTTTTCATGTTGGCGCCTGCTTCTGCTTTCTCGTGCTTTCTTGTGCTTGCATGTTTGCGCTTCTCATGCACACACTGGTGCCTGCTCAACTTGGTCTGCTTCTCCCAGTCTCATTCCCGCTCCCACGCCCTCTTACACCGGTCCTCATCCCTCTCCGCCCCTTTCTCCCCCTGTGCAGAGCCCTGATGCGGAGAACGAGAGCTGCTCGGTGGCGGATTCAGGCACCACGAGTGGCACGCACGTGTCACACTCAGCACGGCGCTACGACCAGAAACGCTGGGTGCAGGTTACCCCCGGCCCAAACACTGCCGTGAAGACCCACGCTAGTGCCGTGACTCCCGCTGCTGATGCCGCTGCTGGTGTGGCGAATGTGCGCTCACCACTTGCGCCGGTGATCAACCTGTGAGGACACGTGGGGTTTGCGACTACTACGGTATCCACGTGTGACTGACTACTGCACGGCATGGCATGCGATGCCGGTCCCTGCAGCACTAGACCCTCTGACACCCCCGTTCTCTACAGCTCTCTAGCCAACTCCTAGGATCATTCTCCCCGTGATCCCCTCTCCCTCCTGCTTCATGCCTTAAGTTAATTAGCTACGTTACCTTATGTTCTAGAAGGTTAGATGAATGGAAGTGTCAAGGGCCAACCCAGCCCTGCAGTTAGGAGTAGAAGTACTGTGAAACACGTGTTCTGATTGGCATCTGACATCTAGGTTTCCGTGATCCATGATCCATGCTAACAGATGTGTACTGCACCCTCCTTGGAAGTCAGTTTTTTGTTCTTCTGAACACTGGATACTGCGACAAGGTACACATGCAACTCACTGTACAATGATGACAACAACAGAAGCAGACAAAACAGAAGTTGGTAGGCAGTGTCATGTTTGCGCATGGGTAACCAGAGGGGTCAACTCTACATCCCCTGTGTCATCTGCCTTGCTCTCTGCTGCAGGAGACAGGGCAGATGCTGCCGTCATAACCCCATGCTCTCCCTTAACCCCCCCATACTCTGCCTTAGGCTCACGGGATAGCAGCACCATTAGGACATACCCGACAGTGACTATGGCAGACCAGAGTATAAAGCGGATGAAGGCGGAGGTGTCGAGGGAGGCGAGGAGCACCGTGTTGATGAGGATGGAGGCGGAGGGCAGCCACGGGCATAGTGGCACTGAGAACACCCGCGTGGCCTCCGCTTCCCTGCAGCACTGGGGGGAGAGAGTGTGGGGCGGAAATAGGGGAAAATGTAGGGGGGATGAGGGGAAATGGAGGAAGAATTTGGGGCGGAGGGAGGAGAGATGAGGGAGCGTAAGTGGAGGAATTGGAAATGAGGAGAACGAGGGCAAAAGGCAAGAGGGGGTTCCAACGGGATGAGGCAGAAGAGGGAAAGGGGAACAAGAGCAAGAATGCATAGCCACAGCTTGCCTGCGACGCTGGGGAGAGGAGAAGGCGGAGGAAGGGGAGTGAGTGGGAGGGAATGGCGGAGTAGAGGGAGAGCAGAGGGAGTAAGAGCAGAGGGACGCACGGCAAGGGAGGCGGTGGCAGCAGCCCAGAGGGAGGCGGAGAGCAGCGCGGGTGCAGTGTGGCCCGGGAGCACTCTGAACACCACTGCCACGCCTGCTGCCCCCCCCACCATCACACCCAGATGCATCAGCACCACCCCCATGCCCTCCCCGCCACCCTGCTTCTGTTTTTGCCATCCCTTGGCGGTTCCCTCAGTGGTTTGTCCATTCTCGCTCTGCTGCCGTGCAGCTTGCACTTGATGTTTTCGCGGGGAGAGCACAGCAGGTGGGTTGACCTCACAAGGTCGGGAGTGACATTCGTTTGCCATCAAAGGGACTCCATCATCTCCTGCTGCTTCTGCTGCTGCCTCTTCTACTACGTTTCTCCCCACTCCTGCTCCTTCTGATGCTGCTGTATGTGCAGAAGCAGCGGCAGGAATGGGAGCGAGGGGTGGCAGGGTGACGCGGGGGTGGTAGCGGTGCAGGAGGAGGGCGAGGGCGACCATGAGGAAGATGAGCAGCGTGCCGATGGACACCATGCTGGCTAGCGTCTCCAGATCCACCAGTAGTGCGATGACACCTGTCGCCACACCTGCGAGAGAATAGAGCAGAGGAATGGGGTTCAGTTGAAGTTTACCTGTTCTAAGATCCGAAGTGATGGGATGAGGCATGAAGACGGTGTGATTGAGCACCTAGCATGCACTGTGGGCAATCATGGTGACTGCTGGCAAGATGCAGGGGCAGAGAGTGCTCGCACGCACAGCCCACCACAGGGACCAACGAGACCATAGCAACGCACCAAGGACAGCCGTCGCAAAGAGAGGTGTGCGCGTCACAGGTGACACCGAAGCAAGCTGCTTCGGCAGAAGCTCAGCCCGAGCCACCACGAGCACGATCCGAGCCTGACCCATCAGCCCCACCAGCACAGCAGTCACTATGGCTAGCAGCGCCCCTGCTGCCACCGCGCCTGCTGCCCAACCCCACCCTGCCAGCTGGTGCAACGCGGAGGAGAAGGGAGCGTCGGCGTCGATCTGAGTGTAGGGCACGAGGAGGCAGAGGGAGAGCGCCATGAAGCCGTAGATCAGAGCCACCACGGCCACCGATCCCACAATCCCGATCGGGAGATCAACGGCCGGATTAGCGACTTCCTCCGCAAGTGTGGTAACTGCGTCGAAGCCGATAAAACAGAAGTAGACGAGCGCTGCTGCGTCCAGCATGCCCTGCAGGCCGAACGGAGCAAAGGAAGCGGTGACGTTTTCCAGGCTGCCTGCTGTGAAGCCAGCAACGATAATGATGGCAATGGCGAGCATGCTGAGACCGGAAGCAAGGAAGTTGAAGTAGGACGATTCCTGGGTGCCGTATGCCACCAGCACGGACAGTGACAGGATCAGCCCCAGCGCAACGAAATCCAGGGTGATTCCCCATGCTGGCACGGGCAGCCGGAAAAATTCCGAGTCCTGCCCGAGGAACCCTGCGAAGTAGGCAGAGAGGCCGCGGGCAGCTGCGGCGTTGGAGAGAATGTACTCCATAAGGAGATTCGCTACTGTGATAAAGGCTGGCAGCTCGCCTAGCGTGACCATGAGGTAGGAGAAGGCGCCGCCCGCTACAGGCAGGTGGACGGCAAACTCGGTGTAGCAGAGGGCCGAGAGGAGTGCTGACGTGGCAGAGAGGAGGTACGAGAGGATGACAGAGGGGCCGGCGTGGTCTCTAGCCGCTACCCCTGTGATGATGAACACTCCTGTGATTGTAGTGTGGGGGAGAAGGAAAGAGGGGGAAGAAGGGGGGGTGGGTGAGGGGATGGGGAGGGAGAGGGAGGAGAGGCGACGAGATGGGGGTGTTGGTGAGGGGGAGGTGACATAGCAGGAGGAATGGGAGCGGACGAAAGGGGGACAGATGAGGAAGTTGGATGCACGGAAGGGAGAGGTACATAAGATCATGGGAGGTGGAGAAAACCGTAGGCACTACGATGCTTGATAATGCAGTACAATGCTACACGGTGTTTCATGGTGTTGTACGGTGCTGTACGGTGCTCTACGATGCTGCACGGACCCGCGCCAATGATGCTGGCGACCCCCAGCGAGATCGTGTCCGCCCATCCCAGCGACCGCTTCAGCGTCGCTTCTCCGCCACCCCCGCCACCCCATTCCGCCGCCTCCGCGCTCTCCGCTTCCCCAGTCCTACCGTCCCTGTCCTTAACCGTCGATGTGCAATGCGGGGATCGCGGCGAGTGCCACGTGTCAACTCCAGCAGCATCTGAGCTGGCGAAGAGCGTGCTGACCTCCTGCACGCGGAACACGCGCGAGCGGAGCCGCTGCCATGGCGTGGCTAGGTCCCGCCGTGACGGCATTGCTATACAAGCACACTGTCGCTACCACCGCATCGTTACGTACGTTACACTTGCCATGCCGCAAGGTCGTCTTGGCGTTTGTGGAGGGGAATTGATGGTGCTTGACTGCACAGCTGAATTTGCTTCGTTAGAATCTGAGCAATGGCAAACACTGATTTCGGTTTGTGCAATGGCATACCGTATTAATGATTCAGGGAAATAGACATTAGGGGGGAACTGTCGGTGCCATGTCAAACGAATAATGTAACCCCAAAAAAAGCAGCACAATACATATGTTTACTATATTATGATACTAGATAAGCGATACATCCATTGTTAATCGGATGTAAATAATATGTGAAAAGATGTTTTGTCAGATAGCAAAATATAAGAGCATAAAGGTGTTTCTGTATCCCCGCAAGTCTAAATGATATATTATATCGCAGAAAATACTACGACTGCATTTGGCCCGGTTCAATGGGGCCACTTAAACATCCCATATCAATAAATCATCCTTGTTGCTGTGAACTTCCCCATAGCCTTTTTGTATGTCGAAAAAGTGAGTGTTGTTACATTCCGGTCATAAAACCATACCGCATTATTGGTAGCCACCTGTTTTTAACAGCCCTGCCTTTCCGAGGTACGCGTTTGGTTGGTTGGGATTCGCTGCGAATTGTAACGAAAGAAGTGGTTGAGGCCCGAACGAGTCTCGTGTTTCCGAAATCTATCTAACGAGAAGGGTAACCTGATTTATTGGAGTGAAAGAATAATTGGAGTTGTCAAGCACAATGCGATTCGCAGCTGATTCCTTCATTCCTTGCCAAGCCACCTTGCTCGCATCTCACAACAATTCCATACCTCACTTTCACAAGCGTGCCCAGTGCCCACTGCACAAACCAATTTTCCTGAGCACTCACCTTCCTGGATTCGACGACTCCCTCACAGCTTCTCCAGCCACTATCGGTCCTACCCAGAATTCGAATCTAAGCTCGCATGGTGATCAATGGAATCTCCATAGCCATTCTTGTCAGGCGCTGTGAAGCCCGAGGCTTTTGAAAACGCCATCGACTACTCCGCCCTTCCCGGATATTGTTGGCTCCGCTTGGAACAACGGGGGATACCAACAGCAACGCCACCATCGATAATTACTACATTCATACAGAGTGACACATAGGCTTCAAGTAGCACCAACGGCTCTTGGCGGGCCAAGTGAATAGATAAACATCTTACAGCGAGGGCGCGCACTGATTCGCCAAACCCTGCGGCAGAAGCGGCGTGCGAACGAACAATTCTGGTGCTCGAAAGGCGCGGACTGCTTTCTTGCGGAGTGCAACTACCTGAAAACGTTTCGCCATGGCGGCTCCCTCAGCGGAGAAGAAAGGCGTAACGCCAGGGGCTTGGTCTTCTGGGCTGCTGGAATGCCACAAAGACGGAAAGACATGTACGTCACTCGCCGAAATCTCCCACTGTTCTTTTATTATTCGCCAATCGTCGCCATTGGTTCAGCCAACCTCGCCATTGTTATGCGACTGCCCGGAGTGGGTGCCAGCCACGACTATCTCGCGATGCCCAGAGTTTGGTGTACCCTCCATCCCCATCCTTCTCTTTCTTTACTTTTCTTTTCTCCCCCTCCCTCCTGGCATCACGTGTCCTCGCAGGTCTGTGCGCGTTGTGCTGCCCCTGCGTTCTCGCTGGCCGCATCGCTGAAATCTCAACTGACGGCTTCACAGGTTCATCCCCCGCTATAACACTCTCGTTTTTCTGTTTAGCCGATCGGTCTCCACCACTACTGCCCGACCTGCTGGTTTTTTGCCACATGCAAGTCTGACTGGGCAGTTGTCCTCACGTGGTGGTCACTGAAGAGTAGTCGACAGCTCATCGTGGTGCACGAAACAGATAGCACTCCCCTCACTGCAGACAGGTCGCACTCCTCCTTTGACCATGATCGAGCTATCTCCCTCAACAGGACTTGTGATCAATATGGCAGCGTCCTGATACAGCCGATCTGTGACCACTGGAGGAAGCCGCTAAACTGATATCAGCTAGACGCAACATCCTAGTTTGTGTGCCTAAGGAGCCGAGTGCATGCCCCTCTGCTCCCGTTTTTCCCTTGCAGCCCCCTGATTATCATCACATACCACCCTTTATGTCCTTGCGACCAACATGTTCTGCTGCACACTCTCTGTTCCCACTGCTTTTGGGGCCAGCATTCCTGAACTACAAGCACATCCCATTACACCCACCAGGCCAACTTGCCGCCAAAAACCATCATGCAACCTTGAGATGATCGTGTCTCATGCTAGAAAGTGCACATCAAGCTGTTCAGGGCAACAATCAAGGCGTCAGCATGCAGCTCTATGAGTTTTATGCGTCAGTTGTTCTCCTTCCCTCATTCTTTCTCGTTTCTCCCTCCCCCTTCCACCCCACCACCCTCAACCCCTTTTCTGCGTCACCGAATGCGGCCACCGATAATTGCCTCGCAGACGCCACCTTTGCCTGCTGCTGCTGGGCATTAATCCAGTACTTCACCGTCGGGATGTGCGGCTGCCTCTACTCTAAAGGTGACGCTTCTCCAGCCTCATGATTTCCTCAACTAATTGCAAGCGTGATGGTTTAACAGACCCTCAGTACTGACAAGTGCGCCATCCCCAAGAAATCTTGCAGGCTTCCGTGGCATGCTGAGGGATAAGTATAGCCTGCCCAGCAGGCCCTGCGTGGACGCTGCACTACACCTCTTCTGCCCCTGCTGTGCCTTTGCTCAGGAGTACCGAGAACTCAAAGCCAGGGGTTGGGACCCACGTCTAGGTGAGTTTCCTTTTCAAAGTGAACTGCTGCTGTCAGCAATTTTAGTGCCCAGTGATCTCAGAGCAGAGTCCTGTCTGACTTCCTTCGTCCCAAGAATCTGTATTTCAGAGTCTCAGCTCCTGATGTTTGCCTCTTTTTGCAGGTTACACAGGAAATGTCCTCAACTTCAGTTCACAAAAAGTGGCTCCTTCTCCTCAACGAATGGAATGAAAAAACGGATGAGATAACTGAAAAAGAAAAAGATCACATGGTGATGGTAGCATAAAGTGAATTTTTGTTGCCCTTTTGCCCTTTCCATTTTGTCTTATTATCTGTAGTATTAATGTTTCGTATGTTCTCAATAAATATTTCGTCAAGATTCCTGAAATGCTGTGCCTATCATTGTGCACAGAAGAAAAATGCCCTGTAATTCCACAATCAGCTGCTCATACAAATATTATTATTGTCTTTATGGAGTCTTGACGCTACATTTAACGAACTATACTGTAGTGTTTTGTGAGTCGGTGTGGTCGGGTCGGGTGAACAGTTGTCCCTTTCGGCTCGCTGCCTGATCATCACCTCGCCATCTCCATCAGCAGATTCTCAAAATGTCATAACACTCGGATATCAACCTTTTGACTGCTGTCCGAAAGTGTGACGCTGATGGCTCCCCTATTGTCGAGGCGCTCCAAATCCCCACAATTCCAATGTTCCCTACCAACGTTGCTGCTAGCGGCGACGGAGGAAGCATCCGGTACGATTTTAAGAATCCGATGACGGAGAAATCAAGAAGCAATCGGGAATGACTCGCATTTTTACCGATGTCTAACCCGACAGTGAAATTTTGAAATCTCAGTCTTGAGTCAATACTCCTGCACTATCAGGATCCGCTTTCCATGAAGCCTTCAAGCCTTCGTTGCAAGCACACTCATTTGCAAGGCTGTCAGCCACGGGTTGCATGAAAGCTTACGCAAGACTGACCTCTTCGCGTGGAATCTTTCAATGGATGGCCTCCCTGAGTGGATAGCCTTTGACGGCATAATCAGGTGACGTGGTCTATAAGTTACGTTCCTTCATTATGTTCGCGCATTTCGAGGATATATTAACTCTCGATTCCCTCCTTAGAAATTTCGGGTTTCATGCTCAGTATGGAGATTCAAAATCATGGCGATGTTTACAGCGGAGATAATTCTACTCACCAACAAGGGCGTCATGACGATATTGGCAGGGATAAGGATCTTTCTAATGCTGGAGACATCATCACACCAGGACCACCTCCATCCTCCTGTCATCTGCATGCTTCAGTACGTTCAACTTCTCACTGTATCCAGCCGTTCATCCATGCCGATTCTTGAACCGCTATCCCTTTAACCTTGTGTTGCAGTCTCTGTCAGGCGCTGGTGTTCATCCTTCTTTAGTAAATATATCGGGTGTTGTCGAACCTTACTCGTCCGAGAACCATGGACGTCATGTGAATCACGCAAGGCGGAAGGCAATTCTAAGAGGAAATGTAAGGTTTTCTTTCAACCATGAGGTGCTTGGCTTTGCATCTTCACAAGTATTCCTCAGTTTTTTGCCTGACAAATTAACAACGCTTTTTGCTGCTCCTTGAAGGGTCGTGCTGGCTTTCTGGTCGTTGCTAATGACCGTGATGAGGAACGAAACATGGCTACTGATCCAATATGCTTCTCCGAGTCATCACCTGAACAAGGACCTTCACTTCCTCTCTTTAAAAGCGGCCAGTTGTCTGACACGTGGCTTAATTCCGAAGGACTGCAGAAAGACGACCTCCTTCAGCCAGGAGGGGAAATGATTGCAGATGGAAGAAAGGTCCAATTTCAGCAGCAGGAGAACAACTGGCATTATTGTGGTCAATCTTTACTGCCTTACTCAAAGCATCACCAACCCTCTGGTTGGCCTGCAAGTAACTTCCCTTCGAATGAGAGCTCTTCCTCCCAACCCCATGAGCATACAGCACAGGATATGCTGTCCTGCACTGCTTCCCTTGACTCTGCTCAACTTGCTGCTCAAGGAAAGTCTCAATTTCATTTTTTAGAGGACAGATCTGCTGCTTATGCTGGAATTGGAAGCAGCCTCCCCGAGCACCAGGTGGACCAGGCAGCACAACAGTATGGTGCACAGCTGGCATTGGAGCGAGTTAGCTCGATTCCTGTTCCGCTCCTTCAAGAAGGCTTCCACGGACATGCTTTTGAGGACTTCGATGATGGGTTTGCTGC